TAAAGTGGTGTTTTCTATCACGTTCGCACAACAACGTGTCTATTTATAGACGTGATTTAAGAGCAAAAAATTCTGCATATGATAATTTGCTAATTTTTAACTTTTCCATGACTGTTCAACTGATATCTAAAGAACCACTCATTGGATTTTGATGGAATATGGTACATGGACTAATGCACAGACCTGATTAGTTTTGGGTAAAAATCCATGCATATTAATTACCTAATTTACATAATGAATAGTCAATTTTCAGCTATTCTACTTCGCTTAATGATTTGTAATGTGGCTCAAAGGGGAATTTCGGGGATTACTCGCTTCTGCAGTGTAGGGATACCATAAGACCTTATAACGGAACACTGAAGTCATTCACACACCCATGTAGTCAGACATAGTCAGTTTCTGGAGTTGAGCTTCGATGTTCTTTAATATTAAGACACGTGAGACACCCCTTGCTAGGTTATCGTAACAATCCGTCAAGACCTGCACCTGCTATGACGTCCCAACGTCCTCATTCAATTTCCCCCCTCCTCATTTAAGCGTTGGAGATAAGTCAGTTCACACCTGCTGGCACATGAATTCACACTACGTGGACAAATAGTAATGCAGGAACAAAGAAATTTGAGTCGGCGTGGGTTCCCACGCCTGCTTCCGTTTTCGCAGTGTGGTGTTAAAATGCCAGCATGATGCAAACATGACAGATTAGTCAATTTTTGGCTTTTCCTTCGATATCTCAAGTATTTCATCATCATACTTCGATAAAACTTGGTGGTCTGTGACATTGCGCAAACCTTATTAGTTTTACATTCAAATCTGTACATATTAATTACCTGATTTGCATAATCATTAGTCAGTTTTCAGCTTTCCCTTTAATATCTCAAGTACTTATCTTATTTCAATGAATCTTGGTACATACATGCTCTGAGACAATGCAACAGTCTAATTAGTTTTGGGTTTATATACATCCATAATAATTACCTAATTTGCATAATAATTTACTTTTTTGCTTTTCATCAATTGCTTTCAAGAATTACATCATATGGCACAGGAAGAAAATTCATTAAAGCACTTTAGCACAACAATAACCACTATTCAGTCATTGTTAGATATTGAAACAAATACTGTGTACATGTATCGCAAGATGTATGATGTAACGACAGGACATATTTTAGCTAAACAACATCATTTCATGTCTTTAACTTGTTCTGGTAATGATGTTTCTCATAATTTCAATATGCTACTTTAATCAGTTTCAAAAGTAAAATTGTGTGCACAATTTCTTTATTTGATTTGGTGATTCATTCAACAAATTTTTCTAACCTACAATTGTTTTCACCACTTATCCAACTTTGCTATCCTGGGTGTATTTATGTTTTCTAATGGGACTTCTAGACTGTTGCACATAATCATGGAAACACAACAGTTGCAAATAAAAAAAATGTTAAAACAATTATAATTGTAAAGGTTTCTTTACTATAATATGTCGTTTTCGTTTGCGGTATTATATGATTGGTATACAATGTTATAAAAATACCAATAAACTATAATTTGGTGATGATAAAATATATTTCATATACAAATCAAGAAGAATGTGTTTTCATTTTGAAAACTTGTATTCAAAGATGGAAGGAAGCGTATCAGAATTACAACCACGCCACCTAGTGGCCGCTAAAGGATAGTTAGTTGGTGCGATTACCATATTTTGTGAATTTTTACATTCTATACGATAAAGTGTGGAGTTTATTATATTTATTCAATACATGATAAAGTATCAACTAGAAATGAACATTGGCTTATTTTATATTTCCAAGCTCGTTACACCGTTTTCAACAATGGCACATTTTCCTTTATACACTTTAAGAGAAGTAGGGAATGTGGATGTTTGCTACACCGTGTAAGTTGCATTCATTGTAATTCATATTTGGACTAATTTATATCGCGTGAAGCGTTGGCCCGTCATATTGAGCAATTAGCTATGTACGAAAGTAACAATTAATATGAGGCTCTTGAGAAAGACATCTGCACATTTGCCATTTTTGTTATAACTTGAGTGACATTTTCAATAGAACAGGAAGTAAGTGATGTGTATTTCAAGATCATTTAAACCAATTAATTAGCAATTAATTAGCGTAATGAATTACAGGCAGCATCACAAAAAAGAAAACGCTTTAGATTTTTGTCCCTCCTCTACGGAGCCTATTAATAAACGAACCTTGGTTAATTGGCAACTACTGTGTGGTCTGGTTACGGCATATGGGAAAACGGGTAGCATTTGAGCAGTTTCGGCAATACTAGTATATTAAAGGACGTTAGTCGACGCGCCACGCATGCGCAAGATATATGGGTCTCATATAAACAAAGATGGCGACTTTGACTGTTGCGCAGATCAACGAATACACCTGAAACGTTTCCAAGCTTTAATTAGGTAATTTTTAGGTGTCGGTGTCGAAGGAGTCACCGGCGGTATTCAGTGCAAGTCGCGCCCAGGTCAACCTTCATACTTGTGATTTCCATTTGAATAGTGTATTGGATTGGATGTTTATCAACACAAATGTCGCACACGCGCAACGCGACGACCACCGCGCTTTGCGTAAAGCCAATGCAACTGCACTAAAACTACGATATTCCGCTAAGAGTGTTCAGGCTAATGTTGTCAGAAAGTAAATCGGATAGTCTACTTACCGAGACTACCTCTTGCTTTCATCTTTCACTGACGTAATACTTACGTAAGTTCCGTATCCATAGAAACATACCGACGTATGAACATCTAGTGTCGTTCTTTCATTGTAACTATACTACTGACTGCATCATTTTGAGAATAATTGGATCTAAGTAAACGAAGTGTAATCATTTCCTGGCACGTCGTGACGATTTGTAGTGTCTTGTTATTGTTTCGTAAATATTATCTTATTTTCATGCGTGTCACGTGATTTCATTACATACAGTTTGTAATAATAGGAACACATATGAGATATAGCTATTATCATTGTTGACGTTATTTGACGGTCGCTTAGCAACAATGATTAAATTAAAAAGCCATCATCTATCATCAAAGGGGCATGTTGAATTTTATTCATTGAAATGATTTCAAGGAATAGATGCAGGTTCGTGAGCACTCACTGTCTTAAAGGGCGCCGCGCATGTGCAACATTTTTGTTGATAAACATTGATTTTCCCACAATCCAATGCGCTCTTCTAATGGAAATGACAAGTATGAGGTTTGACCTGGACGCGACTTGCACTGATTACCGCCAGTTACTCCTCCATTACCTTCCGATAACTAAAAAATACCTAATTAAAGTTTGGTAACACCTCACTTGTTACTTCTTGGTCTGCGCAACAGTCAAAGTCACCATCTTTATTTATTTGAGACCCATATCTCGTGCATGCGTGGCGTAACGACCACTGCCCTTTAAGCGTATGTTTAGTATGTTTGTATGTTAACAGCCCTGGCTTGACATTTCGGTGCGATATGTATAAAAAATACTACGATAAAGACTTTCCGTTTTCGACACTGTGAAATTCTTTCGTATTTGGAAGAAACAACCCTGAAAAAACGGATTTTGACAAGATAATTCAGAAATTTATATTAAGAATAATTCATTACGAAATGTATTCCCTATGCACCCATAAATAATTTTCATAATTACAGAAAAAAAGATAATTTACTATATTTTGTATTTTATGGTTCCATTCAAACAATAACCCTAACTCTCAATAACCAGTAACAGACTTAAATCATAAGGTAATCGCTCATTAAGTTTTTTATAAGCGTCGGCCAAATTAGCACTGGGTTAATGAGTATACAAATTATATCCACTGCCCCCAACTAGGGACATTTAAACTTAGCAGTCTGTTAAAGCGGGAGTGTCGTCGCCTGCGCACATGTGGGAATTGAGTCTCAAGCGACGATAACAACTTAACACACGCTAGAAACGCAACGACTCTTCGGTAGACGCTTGTTTGAAAACAATGACAGCTATGGCTATCTGACGCATGCGCAGGTGGCGACTCCGCCGCTTTAATACGGAAGTCCACTTTTGCATTATTATGTTGAAGACAACACAAAACAAAACTAGACACCCTTGATTTATTAGAAACACACCAAGGTTTTTAATTAAATTGACACAAGCCTTTTTCAGTTATTTCAGTTGAAATTCCCTCACCAATAGAAGACCAAAACATAGATCATGCCGTTCTTAAAATCATAAACAGTTGTGTACACTCAGTGTTTTGATAATTAAAAAAAAAATCTCCTTTCAATAAGTTTTGTTTAATCATGTTTACTATCTGCATGTAAAAAAAGTTAAAACATAATTTTCGGGGTTCAATCGCAAGCGAACCTCTCTGTGTGGTATGCATCGCCGTCAAATCCGTATCTTATCGTATCCCAAGCACACACAGACACGAACACGTGGAGTAATGTTTAGAGACACGCAACATATTCATTAAAATAGATTATATGCTAATACATAACCGGATAATGGAATGACAGCAGCAGCAGTACGCCATCATGTAACCATGACAACGAGTGATCTCCTCTGTAATGTAGTGATTTCATTCAAGCCTTGGAAAGATTTTCCATATTTGGTGGCGGTCATGCATACTAAATAGTCGTATCTTCTTAGGGCGGTTCCACTTTGCAATATAAGGGGATTTAAGTACACGACACGTGGCTCACAGTGGTATCTACACCCAACAGTGTTTTTGTCTCACGTTACCAGTCTTCATTTAATACACCCTCCATATGGCATACCTTGTTACAAAATTAATAGTATCGTGTATCTGAGTAACCCGGTGTTAACCTCGCCTTACCTACCCCCCGACATCCCCTCCTAACTCGCAAGGTAAGCATATGTATTTCCAAGGATCCCTTAGGATGTACGTCAACACCCGACCTCTGATTTGCTCTCCGGCATCCGTCTTAGTGACGTAGCTTTTACGGCTTCTGACGTCAGGCTTCATAAATAGCGTCTGGCACCAAGCAAAGCATACAGCAGAGACAGAGCGTCGATAGTCCACAGGTAGCTAGCTCAGTAGAAAAGTAAATCGTGTGTTATAGCAGAAGTTGAAGAGAGAGACAAGAAAATTGTTCCGAAGAAAACAGACTCGTGTGGAAAGGCATATATAAATATCGCGTTATTAACGAGAAAAACGAATCATGATGAGAAACGTTGCGGCAATGTTGGTTCTTGCGTTTTTGGTGTGTTTGGTACCACGGTATAACGCAGTACCCTTCAAAGGTAAGAAAATAATTTATTTAATTACCAAAATTGGGTTTCTTTTTATTTGTATTCAAGACTTAAAGATAAAGTGTACATACAGTAAAACGTGTGAAAATAGCGAAATAATTTGAAACCGTTACAGTTAAGAGAATGGACACACTACTGTAACAATGAAATAGGCTACACAAACTCCATTGTTGTGGATAATGTTTTGTTTTAGTTCACTAATTTTTGTTAGACTTCCTCAACAAAATGTTTACGTTTTTACTGCTTCCACTTCTCGTATCTGTTGGATAAATTTATCTCGTGCTGGCATGCGTGTATTATTGGACAACAAACTGTTTCCGCGACTACTCTGTATTTGCGGCTTTTCTCATGTTGTGATAATAACTGTCTGACGTGCGTCGCAATTGCCTTTGTAACTCTACGTGTTTTCTGATGAATAATTAGCTTCCCGTTTTCGCATTGATGTTATCGAAGTACCGTGACGTTGTATGCCTTTTTGTCAGGATCCTAAATTGAATACGTCATACCCATGTATTACTAAAATGATAATCGCTGTCTGTGAATTTGCGTGACTTTTATCTTAATTCCTTATTAGGCATTTTCTTTGATTGCGGGATTGCGCGTGGGTGATGTCACAATCGCGTTCCTGCTGTGAATACATCAACAGCAAAAAACGTTCAGAATTTATTTTTTGAAGTGTGCGTAACAAGTGTTTTTATTCCTAGATGAGTTGATTGCGTAATCAGATTAAGTTTACGGAACTTTTACGATTTCCTGCGACGGCTAAAATAGAAGTAATACAACTGCAAGAATTTGCTGATTTTTTCGTTCTCGCGACTTGCAATTTCGCCCACACACGTGTTTAACTTCTTCCCATTGCTATAGCAATGACGGACACGGCATTACTTAAGTCAAGACATATACTAATCGCAGAGACAGGGCCATATATTATGAGTTTCGCACATCGTTTTTTTGTGTGTGTGTTTATTTCATGATAATGTGATCGGAAACGGTAATATCTATAGGTGGGCTTTTAATTTAATTATGTTGATTTTTTACCCTGCCAATACTTGCGCCTCGAGAACCTTTGACATTACCAAACAAACTGTTCTATTTGAATCTTGGGTGCGGAACAACATGAAATTATTTGCGTTTCATGTTCGATTATGATTTTAATAGATACTTCCCACGGGATCGGCAATTATCCTTTTTTGTGCGTGTCATCAGGAATCTTGCTCTGTTCACATATTTGGTTGAATCCCACACATAACCGCCGTGTGTTCTTGAAGGTCGTAGATTTCACGATATCACGAAATGTACTGCGCGTGAAGGAAAGGCTGGCAGGTACCTAGCTGTACTGCAGGCTTGAGTGGCTAAGACACTGTAAGGATGTGGGATCGAACCGATTACTGAAGATGAATAATTTATTTCATTCGTTGGTTAACTGCATTTGACGGCTCATCTTTTTCGTTGTGATCACTCAAGCGATTGATAAATTCATGACTGGCTAAGCTTTCCACACCGATGTCGTTCACGTTTTGGTCATGTGTATGACATATGTATGGCGGGCGTCGCCCGGCATCCAATTGTCGAACATACTCAAGTACCATTCTTTATACTTTAAGCAGAAAAAAATCGAAACAACCGACTCAAATATTGTTATTCGTTCTAGTATTGTAGCTGCATGGCACTCTCCAGACACAGAGTGAAATGGTTGTGCAATGTTTCCAGGACGTGTTGAATCTCAGACTTGTCTGTAGATATAGGTCCTACTCGATGCACGGCGATTGTATCACGTATTTCACACCGTCGTATAGAACGACTGCGTTCTTTATTATGTCTATGTCGATAAATTTCATTATTTTTTTTACGATATTCATGGCTATATAAATAAACAAGCTTTTATTTTTGTTTTTTGCCACAAGCAACGGTATATATCACATGAAATAATGAACTATGCGAAAAAGGGCGCATGCGCTTTTCAATAATGGTGCGTACTATAAATGTATAACTCGTGGCGTACAGGTAATCGCGGTCCTACAAATATTCACATGTAAACTTGTGGCGTGGTATCCCTGGGCAATATTGATTTTACCACGACTAGCTGCGAACGAGGATGGACATAATGTTGGAGATGATGGCGTACTCGGACGGAAATTATGCGCATGCGCCGCCGCGGCATTTTGTCAAGTTATGTAATAGGTTATGCGTTATATAAGAAACGACAGTTTGACAGAACACTTTTCATTTGAAATGTCACGCGTGGGCAGATATATATGACAAGTGAAGTACATATTAAGTACAACTAGCCAAGTGTCAAAGGACTCACAGCATACGTACAATACAATGTTTAACTGTCGGCGATTACTCGAAACTATGCAACAGAAGAAGGTTGTCGTTCCTATGGAAACATTGCGTCAATCGTAATGGTTGGAGCTGATAAGTAATTTAGACTGCCAACTAGAGTCCGTTAAATAGTTGCCGCATCACTACATTCGCCAAATATATCACGCCGCCGTTTAAGATTGACCAAGAGCTCTTGCTGCAGTATGAGGGTCCGATACGTGTAGTTCTAGAAAGCTGTTGCCATGGCAGCTTTCCAACGTAATCATATATTCACATTTATATAAATACACTAAGTCAACTATGACCTGACTTTTCTTAATTTAGTTCTTTGTTTAATTAAAGCTCTTTCCTAAAATCTTGCAAATATTCGATTAGCAAATGTGTTTTTTGTCGAAAATTATCATTGAAATTAGGCAAAATTGATGGAAAACAACTGCACCCAAATTGGGCGGGAAAATTTGAAAACATCACCGGCAGACGACAAATATGCACATATATTTGCGTCATTGATATGAAAGCCCGAAAATTTAGCGTTACAAGCTGTCTGACACATCTTGTTAACAAATTAGAAGCGCGGCTGTCACGCGCTATATATTATCCATGCAAAAGTACTATCGTCGAACTATCGGCATTTGATGTACATCTCATGTTGGCAAATTCCAGTTGATTGATTTGTATGTTATCAGTGCCTCAACAGTATCATGTCGTTAAACTTTTGGCATTTTGCAATTGCTAGATAATATTCACAGCAAAATGTCAACAAAACTGTTCTGAGCTTGATAAGAATTATGACATCTCCCTTTTCCTGTGTGTACATTGTATTTTCATATAATTTTCCTGTAAAATGCTAATCAACAAAATATAACTAGAAGGCTGTGATGTTAAATCGAACCTCGGGAACATTGCATTCGTCACAGATGCCTCTTCCAACCAGCAAATAAGTACATTCATATCCCTACGCCGGGTAATTTTAGTAACCAGGCTTTGTAGCATATTAAAGGGCGGTGGTTGTCGCGCCGCGTCCTGTTCGATATGGGACTCATAGCGACGTACACAACGCGTGTAAATTACATTGTTTATTTACATGAAATTCGAA